TCTACTTTTCGCACCTTAAAGACGCAACTCCCTTAAGAGAACATAACAATGTTTTACTCTGAAAAATCGAATGTTGATAGAAATGTCCATGTGCTCCTTCACAAATTATAAATTCAATTGAGAATTAAAAGACACTCCACGTGAACCCCCGCATTTAGATTTGAAATTCCAACGAACTGGAGCATTTCCTTTATTTATGGAAATGTTTACCGAGTGAATTCAACAGAAAAATCTTTTTCATTTCAGAAAACTCAGAATTAAAAATTCTTCGTTTGCCAGGGGGTGTAAACTGCCCGAAGCCAATTAAATCCCCACAAATTCCTGAGGATTTAATTATCCCGAAAGCAAATAGACATTCTGCAATTTTCTCATAAAACCAATCCAATTCTCGACTTTAAAAATTCATTAAAAAACATGAAAAAAAAATTATATTTTGTCAACATAATATGGCCTTTCAAAAATGGGTTAAGCCCCGTATACGATTCCCCGCAAAATTATCCCGCCCCAAATCCTCAGAATTTTACTAGGGGATGATCCTCAGATCCAGTGGAGAAATTTTCCCAGAACATCTCCACCCACCTAACCCCTTATTTTACCGCCTCCACTCCATTCAAGGACTCAAGATTGATAGCATAACCCGATAACACTATTTACCCCCGGAGGTAGCTGAAAATTCGGCGGATCCCCTCGTTGTTCATCCCATTGAAAATCCATTCCCACTCCCTTCTCATCAACCACCCAAAATCCACACCCGGGAATTACGATATAATGTTTCGATACGATAAACACCACTTGTCAGTTTACTTTTTTCCTTCCCCTCACCTTTAATTGACTTGAATGTCGTAATTATCCTTTTTCTCCGACCATCAACTGCTTTTTTTCGAGTGACTCCGACCCCATGTTAAATTCAAACCCCCAAATTGAGGCGGGCAAACAAGAACCCTTGTTAGGGACAATCGAGACTGATTTATTTGATGGACGAGATCATACACCCTCTAATCGCATTTTTTTTTTCGCAATGGTAAAGAAAAGATTTTTTTGTCAACAACAATTCGATTTTTTCAGAGAAAAAAATGTTCCCCAATTTTTTTAATTGTAAAAAATCTATTTCGAGAAAAATAGACTGTCACGTAATGGAAAAGCCAGCTACCGCAATGTCTAGTCAATCTTTCTCGTCAGTCAACAAGTTTCCAATTGCAAAATTTTTTCGATTGGAAAAATTCAATTTTTTTTAAAAATCTCTCGACTCGCCACTTACGAAGGAAATACACTCTACCTGAAAATTTATTTGCGACGAAGAAACCGTATTTTTTCGCACTTTTTTAAAGCGAAATAAAAAAATTTCCATTTTTTGAAAGAAAAAAATTAAAAATCCACAAATTTTTTTTTTTAATTTCAAAATTTTCTGGGACTTACCAAATTTTCTCCATGATGACGTCACGTTCAACTCAATATGAAAAATCTCTCAAATTTACGAAACTTCTTCCTCGTTATTTCAAGAATAAAGGACGGATTTCCGAATTAAACTCAAAACTCTATCAAAAAATAAATCTCTCAAAGTTTTACAAAAAAAAGGCACAGATCGGTGGGGACGGGTAATTTAACATTAAAAGGCTACTGAGGTGACACAACAACGTAAAATTCATAGAAAAACATAACAAAACCGAAAAAATATCACATTCAAATTTTCCCGCGCAAGACTGCCGGGAAATTCAAAAATCCCTTCTCCGAACTCATCTCAAAAACCGTTCATTTCCCGGCACAAACCTGGACGGCAGTAATAAGGCACAAGTATTGCGACAACCAGAAGCGGAATCGAGGCACTAAAAAAACCGCGAAAATTCAAAAACCCAAAGCGGCAATAACTGATAAAACAAAGAAAAATCAATGAAAAAACGGGACGCAAAATAATTAAGATTCGAAGGCACTTGAAAAATGTGAATTGAGAAGAAAAAAAAATTTTGTTACAAGTTCGTAGTTTGCGAAAAGAGGGGATAAACGATAGGGTAGAGAGGAACGAGGATGTTACCCCGACGGCTGTCGCCAAAGAAGTGATGTGTCTGTGGCCTCGCTCGAGGCACCCGGTGGTGTCTCCGCATTATTTGCGCGCGCAGGGTAAATTTTACCACCACCACATGATGCCAAAAGCCACCCCTTTGTGATTGTCAAGGAAGAAATCAAGAGAGAGGGGGAAGGGATGTGAGAGGCATCGAGAGGGGATGACCCCCCGTCATTCCACCCCCCCCCACTGCTCCCGCCCCTTGCTGCGGGATTGCTGTGGACTCATGCATCACCCCGCTGTGCAGACAATCACTTTGCCAAGATCAGAAAAGTAAACTGCGTTCATTTTTCAAATTTTTAGATTTCAAATTTTCGCGGGCAAAGGTTTCCAATGGCAGCGACAGATCGGGGAATCCCCGATTGAAAACTCTGCATGATTGACTTCTTATCTTAATTAGCTCTTGAGGTACTGGAGATTTGGTGTAAGGGGTTGAGAAAAAAGTTAGAGTTTAGAGAACCCAAAAATGGCGAATTATCAATCATTTTCTGTCAAACACCGTTCACAGAGTGAAGAAATATTTGCGTCATCACTCGGTCAAAAAACTTTTCTGACTCGTGTAATTGTAGTCCTCACACTTGTCCGAAAAGTTTTGTCCCGGTCTTGTGAGGAAAATATACATTTACCTCCTAGGCCGCGAAATGCATGAAGTGTCCGAAAAGTGACGTTTCACGGGCAGTCTGATGAAAAAATCTATAACAACTTAAAACTCGCCTGTGCCAAGACGATTAAACTCCGACCATGAACCAAGAAGACCTCATTTTTCCCAATTCTCATTCTCCAAAAATTCGACAGACCCTTAACCAAGAATAATCGAACCAACCCTCACCAAGGGGTTGTAGGTTCTTAACGCACCGCTGGATTCCCAAAAATCTTGTCCCCAACCGTGAAAAAAAAGCGATCTCGAGAAGGGTGGAACTGGTGATAATGCAAAAGCACAGGAGGTGGTTACTGTCCGAAAACCTAACCCCTAAAAAGAAATTGAAGTAAAGCGTGGAAGATGGCATAGTACTGGGGGACAGGGAAGAGAGATTCTGGAGATGCAAGATGTCACTCAGAGGCACGACGTGTAAGGGAATGGTCACTGTTGGGGGTGAATTGAGATGTACAGGAAATTTATGCACTGCTGCTTTCAGCCCGGAAGTCAGGGGGAGGTTACACGAGGGTTGAGTTAGATGGATTAAGATTTTTTTTTATCCTACATGTGAGTTTCCCTACTACGACACTTTGCCGGTGAATTTCGGCTATTGACTCCTGAGACTAAACAAAAAATCATTTTACGAACTGTTGAAGGGTCTCAATTCACAATTTTCAGCCTAGGACGTAAAATATCTCTCAGTTATTCTTATTCTAAGCGTTCTCATTGCCACCGGATCCTCCCAATTTTTCAGCGTTTTAAATTCTTCTTTGAAGTAGAGTAAGAAAAAAAAATGGGTCATCAGCTGTTGTTCACTCTCCCTTCTTATCTTCGCCAGTTTCTTTGTATCGAACTGGTTCTAGCCTGAAATCGGAGATGTGAGAGAAAAAATGAGAACTGTAGATTGATACTGATAACAATATCGCACATGGAAGGTTGTTTGTTACATCCTCCACTGGCACCAACCTGTCTGAAACATTCTGATTGCCCGCTGCCTCCCTTCCCCTGATGACATAACCGTTGATCGAAATCCATTGCTTGGCATCGCTCTCCGAAATTAGAAAATTCTGATCAACGAAACATGCGAACAGGAGATAAAATTTGCCCAATGCCCGATGGAAACACGAAAATCTGACGTCACATGGCAAATATCTCATGTGGCAAAAGGATATTTTCAATTTTCCAAATTTCAAATCGACGATTACTCTGATAAGACAAATGATAACGGCTTCGACCCCACAATTAAGATGTCTCGGTTCACCAAATTGTTCTGTCATTCCCGTTCATTCAAATCTCATCTCCCGATTAAGTCAACTGATGTCGTAAACACGAACAGATGTGGCGGGTAAGATCCTCATTAGAGATTAAAATAAAATAGAGAGGCGAACTGGTATGAAGATTTTGGTCAGTGTGATAACAATTTTCTAGCACCGGAGAAAGGATACGGTTCAACGCTTGTGGTATTCAACCCCCTGGATACCCTGGATTTTGGTGCCCATTTGTGAAATTACACGAGATCTTATCGGATTTATCGAACGTATCGGATTTACGAGCGTCACCTGTTCAACTCTAGGGGGAGGGGGAGAGAGAGAGAGAGTTTCGGGTTGAATCGCAATGGTCAGTTTATTTCTTTTATTCATTCCTTTTTCCGATTGAGGGAAAATCGTCTCTGATAAATCCCGAGGATTTTCACGATTTAATTAAATCTTCCCTCATGAGCCAATGAAACTTGAATTTACCAGGGAATTTTGACATTTTCAGTGTAAGAACTTGCCTTTTTCAAAAATGTGAAAAATTCAAGGACTTTTCATTCTGCCGAATTCCCTAACTCAAGCCGACAGAGGCTCCTCACTAATAGACTTTCCCCTTTTTCAACACCTAACCCTAACCCCCCGAGTGTTCTTCATCATCACATGCCTATTCAAATTTTACGGTCTATATTTGTCGCAATTAAGTGTTATGTTTAGTGGCATCCACGACGAGAAACTATTCCCATATTGGGTACCATAGTACTTTCGTTGCAGCGAGTTAAGGATGCGGCACTTGGGAAAACCAGAGGTAGATGGCTAAAAGGGGATAGAACGACATAGATTTTACGACAGGCTCGTGCTTTGGAGACCACTGAGGGGTTGGGATTTTCACGTTTCAAGGATGAGTCACTCGATTTTACTTTTGTCATCTACTTTTTTATGTTTTCTTATTTATCACTTTGGAAATGGTCGTCAATTGCCATTTCCACCCTCTCATTCTTCCGACAAATTCATCCGAAAATATTTCCAATGAAATTCTGATCTAGTCACTCACCTTCAAAATAAGCGACCCTCAATACAATAATTTACGTCTATAAATTCTGGAGGACACAGCGTCAGGAATAATTCTTATCGTCTCGTTGTTGTCGATCGTTCAATATGTCGTGTCTGAAATAAAAAGAGTGACTGTTAAAAAGAAAAATCCACAAAGCGCAGGGGCAAAAAAAAGTGTATGAAGGTGTTTCGAAGTGGGGATACGAAAATGAGGACAGGGTCCACAGGAAGACATGGTGAAGCTGAAGAGGACGAGGGGGATGATGGAGAGGGTCGCAAAAGTAAGGATGAGTATGGCGGCAATGTGGCGGACGCCGGGGTTGGCGCCGCGACGCCCTGGCGCCTCTGATCCTCTTGCCCACCATACCTCTAGCCCTCAACCATCATCCCCTCTTGAACTAGACGCTCCAGCGATGCTGGGATACATGTACCTGTAATTCCACCCATAACCCCCACAACTTCACGTTTTCCCTTTAAAGAATATAAGGCTACAAGAAAGCAGATATCGCATCCAGAAAAATTGATAAAAATTGTGGGATAAGTTATTTGAATGGAGATTCGAAGAGGTGAGGGAGGATAGCTGGGAAATTTCCTGTTCCATTGCTAAAGGCGAATGGTTCTGACTGAATTCATTTTCGAGATATCCAAGAAATCATTTCTGATGACGAGATGATTCGTTGATATTTCGATATCTCGACAAATGCTGACGGAGTCGTCTCTAGGGATTTGAATCGGAAATTTCCCTGGACTTTTGTTTTTGACAGTGACTTGGTTCAGAGATGATGTATTCGGCAGTTGCCAATATAAATTTCCCATATAGTTTAGTGACTAGGATATCTTCCTCATTCAAGAGGAAGTAGCAACTTCAATCGAGTTCAATTCCACAATCACGATGTGCAAATCTTGGCGAAAGTTCTTTGTCATATTGAATATTTTCAAGACTCTTGAATCATTTAAAGCTCCAAGAACACAGATACCGCATCCTGTAAAATTGATAAAAATTGTGGGATAAGTTATTTGAATGGAGAGTCGAAGAGGTGAGGGAGGATAGCTGGGAAATTTCCTGTTCCATTGGTAAAGGCGAATGGTTCTGACTGAATTCATTTTCGAGATATCCAAGAAATCATTTCTGATGACGAGATGATTCGTTGATATTTCGATATCTCGACAAATGCTGACGGAGTCGTCTGTAGGGATTTGAATCGGAAATTTCCCTGGACTTTTGTTTTTGACAGTGACTTGGTTCAGAGATGATGTGTTCGGCAGTTGCCAATATAAATTTCCCATATAGTTTAGTGACTAGGATATCTTCCTCATTCAAGAGGAAGTAGCAACTTCAATCGAGTTCAATTCCACAATCACGATGTGCAAATCTTGGCGAAAGTTCTTTGTCATATTGAATATTTTCAAGACTCTTGAATCATTTAAAGCTCCAAGAACACAGATACCGCATCCTGTAAAATTGATAAAAATTGTGGGATAAGTTATTTGAATGGAGAGTCGAAGAGGTGAGGGAGGATAGCTGGGAAATTTCCTGTTCCATTGGTAAAGGCGAATGGTTCTGACTGAATTCATTTTCGAGATATCCAAGAAATCATTTCTGATGACGAGATGATTCGTTGATATTTCGATATCTCGACAAATGCTGACGGAGTCGTCTCTAGGGATTTGAATCGGAAATTTCCCTGGACTTTTGTTTTTGACAGTGACTTAGTTCAGAGATGATGTATTCGGCAGTTGCCAATATAAATTTCCCATATAGTTTAGTGACTAGGATATCTTCCTCATTCAAGAGGAAGTAGCAACTTCAATCGAGTTCAATTCCACAATCACGATGTGCAAATCTTGGCGAAAGTTCTTTGTCATATTGAATATTTTCAAGACTCTTGAATCATTTAAAGCTCCAAGAACACAGATACCGCATCCTGTAAAATTGATAAAAATTGTGGGATAAGTTATTTGAATGGAGAGTCGAAGAGGTGAGGGAGGATAGCTGGGAAATTTCCTGTTCCATTGGTAAAGGCGAATGGTTCTGACTGAATTCATTTTCGAGATATCCAAGAAATCATTTCTGATGACGAGATGATTCGTTGATATTTCGATATCTCGACAAATGCTGACGGAGTCGTCTGTAGGGATTTGAATCGGAAATTTCCCTGGACTTTTGTTTTTGACAGTGACTTGGTTCAGAGATGATGTGTTCGGCAGTTGCCAATATAAATTTCCCATATAGTTTAGTGACTAGGATATCTTCCTCATTCAAGAGGAAGTAGCAACTTCAATCGAGTTCAATTCCACAATCACGATGTGCAAATCTTGGCGAAAGTTCTTTGTCATATTGAATATTTTCAAGACTCTTGAATCATTTAAAGCTCCAAGAACACAGATACCGCATCCTGTAAAATTGATAAAAATTGTGGGATAAGTTATTTGAATGGAGAGTCGAAGAGGTGAGGGAGGATAGCTGGGAAATTTCCTGTTCCATTGGTAAAGGCGAATGGTTCTGACTGAATTCATTTTCGAGATATCCAAGAAATCATTTCTGATGACGAGATGATTCGTTGATATTTCGATATCTCGACAAATGCTGACGGAGTCGTCTGTAGGGATTTGAATCGGAAATTTCCCTGGACTTTTGTTTTTGACAGTGACTTGGTTCAGAGATGATGTGTTCGGCAGTTGCCAATATAAATTTCCCATATAGTTTAGTGACTAGGATATCTTCCTCATTCAAGAGGAAGTAGCAACTTCAATCGAGTTCAATTCCACAATCACGATGTGCAAATCTTGGCGAAAGTTCTTTGTCATATTGAATATTTTCAAGACTCTTGAATCATTTAAAGCTCCAAGAACACAGATACCGCATCCTGTAAAATTGATAAAAATTGTGGGATAAGTTATTTGAATGGAGAGTCGAAGGGGTGAGGGTGGATAGCTGGGAAATTTACGGTTCCATTGCTTAAGGCAAATGGTTCTGAATTAATTAATTTTCCAGATATTCAAGAAATCATTTCTGATGAAGAGATGAATCGTTGATATTTCGATATCTCGACAAATGCTGACGGAGTCGTCTCTAGCGATTTGACTCGGAAATTTCCCTGGACTTTTGTTTTTAATAGTAACTTGGTTCGGAGATGATGTGTTCGGCAGTTGCCAATATATATGTCCCATATAGTTTAGTGACTAGGATATCTTCCTCATTAAAGAGGAAGTAGAAACTTCAATGGAGTGCAATTCTACAACCACGATGTGCAAATCTTGGTGGAAGTTCTTTATCATGTTGAAAATTTTCACGACTCTTGAATCAGCCTGCGACAATTCGCCCACGTCGAGCCATGGAATTTCAATTCCATATTTTCCATCGATACTCCCTTTTGTTGGATTTAACGATGACAATATCCAGGAGAACTATTCCAACCATAAAAAATGTTATCGAGATAACTAATAAGGAGTATTCCATCTAGTATTGCGTAATCTTGTAATGGGCTCGTTAGACACGTACTTCACTTCGACGATCATTTATATTGATCATAAATCCCGTTGAATGTAGTTCAATCAAATGACTTCCCCTTCCCTGTCTCACCCCCCCCCCCAACTCGTCCCCTTTCACTGCTTTACTATCGTGAGATTATAGCATCTGGCGGGGTATAATGTTGATATTGGGGTTTCAATTGTCAAAATTGAGTTATTTGGATTGGTGATCTGGTTCTCATTTTGGGCTAGACGTCTTGAGCCGATTGTCTAGTTGAGTTATTTGAAGATTATGGGATACTTCGGAAAATGTCCGGTTGAAAACGTTTCACGGCTCTTGTTCCAAGTCGATTAATTCTCAAAATATCGAAAGGTTAATTAAGAAAAAATTTTCATATAATTGTCCCCAAAGAATTTGAAACAAGAAAAATAAAAAATAACGGATTAGCAAATCATTTTCATTTGTAATTTATTCAATCTCACGTCTGACGAAAAAAAATCTCGCTTTTATCATTCTCCAAAAATTTGTTTCCCTAATAACTTCAGTAAACACCGTGAAACCCCAGATATTTATCCACGTAACGTAGTTTCCCTAACGTACCCCCAAGAACTTAGACTATTGGAGAAGGGAAAAATAGTAAAAACGAGCGGCAAACCGATGATAGAATATAGGGATAATCCATTAGAGGAGGTTGTAACCCAAAACTGGACAAACAAGGGTGGTTTTCGTATGGATTAAACGTAAAGCCAGGACCGATGGACCACAATAGGGTGGTGGATAATCATCATCACTAAAAGCCTTTTTGTCCGAGCATTGGTGACAAAGATGCTTGGAAACAGGTGTGGTTTTTCTTTCCCGCAGGAAGTGAGGTAATTCATCAGATTTTTGCTCGAAACGTCTTCATTACAAACATCAATCATTTGAGTACAAGACAAGAAGAATGATCAATTATTATGAGGTTATCCTCAAAATTGAGAAGGGGAATTGATCGATAGCTATGGGAATTAGAGATGCGACATGATGTCAGCTTTCGAAATTCATCAGGTCAGAGGAAAACCACGTGATGGTTTTCCTGCGGCAGATCAATGTTTCTCTTTGCAAATATCCGTCAGAATTGTGGATAACAATTGACTCGCCAGCCGCAGAGACATCATCAAAACGAAACTATCATATGTGTCACGTGGCCCCCAAATCCAGTCCTCTGATTGGCCAAAATCCTGTTTAATAAGGCACTCAGACAGCTGACACTGTCCGGGAGTTGTTTTTATATCAACTGAGGGGTGAGAGCAGGGTACGATTCAATCAATGATACTATGGTCGTGCTCTCACCAAGTGAAGGAGGAGAAAAAGGCCTCGGTTAATGCATCTCGGATACTGTTACTATTTGCTCGGAACCGTCTTATCTTCCTCGCTTCATCGAAAATCAAACGAGACCCGTGCCTACGGACAAAAGTATAAAAAAAAAATCTACAGTGTATTTCCTTCCCAGGGAGGAAGTGGCCAGGAGGGGAGAATCATGCGTGCGTATTGAGAGAATGAAAAAAAAATGAGAGAAAATTCATGTCTGCGTTAGATTGAGGTTTTCTGCTGATAAAGGCCGATCGGCTTTTTTTGGCAGTTGGGGTCCAACTTTAGGGGTGCA